CCTCCAGAGCTATTTTAATGCACAAAGAAACATACATGTAACATTTGAAATACTGAAGATGTGGCATCAGAGAGAATAATTAATGCTTATTTTTGTCTTCACCTTCTCCCACAAAGGATTTAAGATAGCTGTAAATAATGTCTATGCCCATTCATTTAAATCACACCTAGAAGGAGTACAATCCTGGCCCCATCATTCTGCAGTAGTTGAAGCATAACAGCTCCATCCATTTAACCCATGCTTACCTTATGAGATCAATAACAGGATCCCAGAGAGCACTGAAGTTAATATATAACATGCCTAACAAATAACGAAGCGGCACCTGCAATGACAGGAAACCAGTTTATGGGTAATAAAATAAAATAGAAAGTCAGAACACAAGTACCAAAATGCAAACATCCCGAATTGGACAACCTGAGTGGGAAGAAGCTTGTACATTAAGAAAAAAAGCTGTTGGTACCAATCCAAAATTCAGTGCATACTCATTTTCCTCCTCTCCCCAAAATGTCACTCATTATTTAACACAGAAGAATCACTATAGCAAACACAGTATTAAAATTCACTCCAGATGTTCACACATAAAGGGTACATTTGAATAAACAGCTTTGACTAATGATTAAATTCCCTTCTAAATTGCCATCACTGATAAGACAAAACTTGAACTGTAGTCAGTAAAGTACAAATGCCAAAAAACTCAAGGAAGTATGAAGTGAATGGCTGAGGCTTCGTGAGCACATGTCTGAGGCTATTTCAGACACCATTTCTACTTCACTCTGCTCTGTCTGGCTATGACAGCTTTCCCATCTGTGTTCCTGGACAGATGTTGAGGACTCAGCTTGAGAGTGATATCCTCAATGAAGCCTGTCCTGACTATCCCCCACCGTACTTACTTGCTCACATGTCTCTTAGTCCCTACTAGGCTACACATCTCTTGAAGGCAGGGTTATGTTCTCAATTTTCTTTGTATCCCCAGCACCAAATTTGATGTCCACAACATAGCAAATGCTTACTAAATGACTGAATTCAAAATACAGAATACTGAGCAGAAAATTCATTCCTACTGTGACATTTGCTAAAAAGAAATCACAGGTTGCTGGGGCAGAAAAGGATAGAGTGGCCATCCTGCAAAATATGATCCCTTTACAGAGAAGGACTAAGGCACAGGGGGCAAGGTTATAGCCCAAGAGTAAGGGCAAGTGAGCCTTCTGCAGTTCCCCTTCACCCAGTTCCCCCGGTACAAGCCACGTTGTCTCTCGGCATATGAAGCCCTTCCATCTTTAATTGCTATGCAACTGGTATCAGCCACAGAATAATGGCCTTTCAAATGATGTTAAAATGACTACGAACAATATTTTGAAAGTATGATCCGACACCATACCTGAGGCTTGGAAAGAGTTAAATCCATACAAAGGGATATAAGGAACACCCTATCCTTACTTTATGTGCAGGGAACACTGGCTGAAGTAATTTTAACTATGATCAGTTGACAACTGATATATAAATGGATCTTCCATCTCTGGGAATAATATAAAATTATATCCACTTTCACGCACTGGACTCCGAGTCAGACAATGTGGATCAAAGTTCCAATTCTAAACATTCACTCCTGCATAACCCAGAGCAAATCACTTTAACATTCTTGAGCCTCAAGTTCCATATCTACAAAACGGTATATCATTCTGGAAGCCGCAAAGCACTGTGCAAATGTAAGGTATTCTAAAAGAGCAGCAAGACAACTCAGGATTTTTATATTTCAAGTTTGACATATGGTTTTAAGCAGCAAAATTAAAAGGTACTGATAAATAGTTTGTGTTGCTTTGGATAAAAGAATTCAGTAACTCAAATAATTAATGGTCATATTTTCAGTTTGCTCAGGATTGAGATTTATTATTTGAGTTCACTAAAGGTAGATAAACTCACAACTATTTAATGCAATGGAAACTTTGAAATACACAAACCAAGAGTGGAGTGAGGAGGTTAAGACTTGATTTTCAAATTGATTATATAAGAAAATGTATTGCTTTGCTTTTAGATTATTTTGAAAAGTAAAATGTGTTTTCCCAAAGCATGGTGGCAATACAGCACGATGGAAAGAACATGAAAGCCACACTCTGTTTCCAGATCCCCACCCTGCCCCATAACCCCTAAATCCAGTTAAGCAATGCCTTGTTTTTCAAATGTTGTGTGTTTCTCAATAGACTATCAAGAAGTAAGAGAGTATTTTCTTTCTCAGAATGGCAAGGGCAGAAATCAGGATCAAAATTAAGAACTATTTTATTCTTGTAAGCATATTTTTGTCTTGTATATTTTACAGGCGAAGTATATAGTGTTTGTTTTTATTACAATCTATTTCATATCCATCATCTGAACCCAAAACTTAGCCACTGTCAATTTAAAAAAAAATGGTGGCCACAGGGACCACCATGATTTGAAATGGACACTGGCACAGAAGGACCATGTTTTCTTAACCAGCTCATTTTTGGTGGATTTAACAGACATCTGTCTTTCTAGGGGGCTGCCTAGCATTAAAAGTCCTTCTAATACATTTCTGAGTTATTTTATGATAAAAACATATTGCATTTGTAAATTTTAAAAACTCTAATAAAGAAAATTATAAAGTATGCCACTAGGAGAATAATAGGGATCAAACAGAATAATTTCTTCATCATTCACTTATCACTCTATGAACAAATTTCCACTGAAAACCTACTATGTGGGCCAAGGCATTCTGCTCAGATGATTAATACATGACCTGAATTGCTCAAGGAATATGCATCTAGTGAATTCATTAAGGAGAAAGAAAGACCATTACCTTCTGACAGCCAATAAGCAGATCAATCACCTTTGTAAACCGAAGACAGTAAGCAGGTAGACTAACAGTTTGAAATGGGATGGGAGAGAGAATATCTATAACATCAAACAGGACTATCAAGGTTCCCTTAGCCGGCACGAGACTCAACCTCATCAATCTACTTAAGTTTCCCTAAATAAACTACGTAAACTCTTGGAGCTCGCCACCTCTACGCATGCTCTTCCTCTCAAATGGAAATGTTATCCCCCTCTCAAGGTGCAGCCAATCATCACCCCTTGCAGAAATCCTCCCGCACACTCTCTTATGCATTTATCATAGACCATGCCCCACTGCAGAGCACCGGCATGATTCCTAGCTCATCTTGTTCCTGAGACTGAGATCTCTTTGAAGGTAGGAGCTGGATTTTTATATCACTAGCATCTAATTATATATAGGTAGTTATATGCATGTTTGCTAAAAGAGTAATTTTAATAATCATAATAGTTATCACTGAGTGCTTACTAAGTGCCAGGTACTGTTTAGCATTTTATATTTACCTCACGTAATCCCCACAGCAATTCTGCGAATTAGGAACTATTATTTTCCCTATTTCACAAATAAGAAAAGAGAGTCACAGAGCAGTTCAGGCCTACTAAGCAGCAAAGCCAGGCCTTGACCTTGGCAATCTTGACCACTCTACCCAAACCGTTGCATGATGATGCCAGTGCCTGAAGAGTCAGTTTTGCTTCCTTATTTAACACACTTCCACAACCTACCCTCAGACCACAATCATTTATACTCTCCCCTTTAAACCTTTTTTTTTTTCATAAATGGAATCTGTATTTTGAAACTGTTACATCAACAAAACTGGTTAAAAAAATTTCTTTTGGTAAGGGATCATTTGTAAAATTATCCAATTTCTTAAGGGTCTAAGGCTGATGAACTTAGCAGTGGTCCCCAACCTTTTGGCGCCAGGGACAGTTATCATAGAAGACAATTTTTCCACAGACCGGGGATGGGGCAGTGAGGAGGTGGGGTGTCGTGGGTGGTGGTGGGGGTGGTGCAGAGCTCAGGCAGTGATGCGAGGCCTGTTTCCTAAATAGGCCACAGACTGGTACCGGGGGTTGGGGACCACAGAGTTAGAGAACTGTTAAAATTGGAAGTATATTCAAAACGTTCATATGCTATATGCTGTAACTGAATGATAAAAAACACCAGAGAGACCCTAAACAAAACAAACTGCTAAAGCAGTCACTTCCCTCTTCCGCCAGAAAAAGCAATAAAAAAACTGAATGAGGACTGGTCATAACTGCTTCACATCCTCACATACTTAGAAGAGAGGATATTAAGGTATTTCTACTATTAAAAAGCTGGTAGAACTATGTAATTCAAAGCATCTAAGAGAATTGCAGATTTACCTTGTTTTGAAAAAAATATTTCTTTTCATGACTACTTGGTAAGCTTTCCAAAACAATTTAAAGCATAAATTAAAAAGAAAAAAAAAAAGATGCTCCTTTTACCTCTTGTAACGGGCCATCAGGGACTGCAGTCTGCACCACATCATGTCTTAGTTTTCGCAAATGAAGAAGCTTCTCTCTGTAATCATTCACGGTTGCTGGAACCAGTTCTGCCTGGCGTAGTATAGCAAAGGCAGACTGCCGTTCTGACAGCCCATCATCCTGAACAACCAGAGAAAACCAAGGAGGAACATCAGTATTTTGATTTTCCAAAAAGAATACTAAATGTGACAAAGGTCTAAAAATAGAAAAACCGGAATATGTTAATGTTTTAAATTAAATGAGCAATATTTTTTTTTGGTAAATGATTCCTTTTTCCTCACACCATTTACTTTTTTGGTAGTTAATTTAGGTTTATTGCCTACTGGAGAAATGACAAGTAAAAAACAGAAAAGTAATTCTCAAAATCACTCAAACTTATTGGCAACATTTGCTGAAATAAAGAAAATGTATATATACGTTCACTATACAATTCTACTTCTAGTAATGTGCATTATGAAAATATTCCCCTACACAAATATATCTGTGTAAGCATGTTCGCTCTAGTATTGTTTAAAATATTAAAAAACTACAAAAACCCACCTAACCATCCATCAACAGGGAATTGGCTAAATAAAAAATATTTTAAACTATGGTGTACTATTTAAACTTCAAAAGAAATGAGGTAGAACTAGAGGTACTGATATGGAAAAACCTCATGATACCATTTGTTTAAATTATGTGTATACATTGAAAAAGTTTGAAAGAATATTCACCAATTAACTGTAGATTTTCAGTGGTGGCCTTGATGGGTGGGAATAAGAATTACAAAAAAATATCATTTTTATGATATTTATATAGGATGTTAATTTTATGCAAAGGTATCACTTTGAAAATAAAAAATAATATGTAAAATTATATTTTTAAAAAAAAATTCACTAGAACAGTTAAGATACCTCCATCAATTCTGGAAGACGAACATCAAAATGGTTTAGGATCCTTATTGTCAAAAGCCGAATCTAGAGAAAGTAAAATGCATGTTTCAAACTCAAAGTTTAACTGTAGGAAGAAAGTGATTCAGTCAGTGAGATTTAAGTTTTATAGAATTGAGAAAAACATGCCATTTGACCAGAGTAATACATGCCTATTCTACCCCTCATGTCACATTCAACACCAACCAACATCTAATTCATAGTACACAGAACAATTAATCCCCACACTGGACTGAGAAGATGAGGTTACCCATAAAACCATGTTGTTTCTTTGAACCATGACACTGTGAACAACCCTGTAAATTAGTAGAAAGAAGTTGATTAAGCTTACAACTCAACGAAAACTAGTGCTTTTTATTCCTAAGTAATGTATAGTATTCAGGTATTTCTACACACCTGAGTGAGCAAGAGAATCACCTAGAAGACTTTTAAAAGTTATGCAGGTTTTTCAGTTCCCCCCTAGCCCTAGTGAATCAGAATCTTTGGGCGTGGGGACCCAGAATGTGTATTTTTATTAACCTCCCTAACTAATCTTGCTGCAGTTTGCAGGCCAATGTTTAAGAATCATGACTTTAAACGAAATCATCCCACAGCAACATTTTCTGACTAAGGAGTTCCGACGACCACTGGCAGTCCATATTCAAACAGAAGGAGAGAGAAGGGGGACATACTGCAAACAACATTACCTTGGATTTACCAGTTGAAATGTTTGCTTGTAACTTGGGAAATAATTCCATTAAAGCTTCCTCAGAAAGCGGCCCTTTGCAGCCACATAAGGCTAATCTCTGGTAATACAGATCAGCCAACAGCAACACAGACGGCTCCAAAGGAAACATTCTGCAACAAGATATTCGTTAGACCCAAACTGCACCATACAGCTCAAGAGCATTTACACTATAGTCTAAACCACAGAAAATGATCACTGATGAAGGAAATGCAAAAGGTAACATGTAAAAGTTTCACATGGACATTTAGCATCACTTCACAGATGTAGAATCTGAGGCCTAGCAACAGTGAGTGAGGCAGAGGTGGGAGTAGAATATTTAGACCACAAATTCAGTGCTGTCTCTTCAATTCACACAGTTGTAAATGATAGTCACATAAAAATATACATCTATAATATTTGCTGTTTGCCACATGCCAGGGACTGAGCTAACACAGGTAGCAGTGCAGAAGAGTGGCCCAGCCCATGGGTCCAGGGTAGGGGGACCCAGGTTTGAACCCAGCCCCATTACTCACCAGTGGTATAACCTTGGGCAAGCTGCTTAATCTCCATGTGCCATCCTCATTCAACAAATATTTACTGAGTGCCTACTATGTGCCGGTGACTTTTCTAGATATTGTGGATATAGCAGTAAACAAAGGACAAAGTCCCTGCCTTCCTGGAACTTATATTCTAATAGGCCGAGGTAGCCAAAAAACAAAAACAAACAAAAAAACCCTAGTAAGTACAACAGTGATGAGTGCTGTGGAGAAAAGTAAACCAGGGGAAGGAGTCTGGAGAGACACCAGCGTGGAGTGGGGAAGGCAAGGGGGTGAAGAGAAGCGCCACTCGATAGAGGGCTGGTCCTAGAAAGTAGGGACCACCAAAGAAGGTGGAAAATGCGCTGGAAGGGTATCTAGAAGACAAGCATTCTAGGCAGAGGGAACAGCGATGCCAAATCCCAGGCCGAGGTGTGCTGGTCTGTAGGAACACCAAGACCAGTCCAGCTGGAAGTGAGTTAACGAGGAGAGGCTGAAGGTGTCAGAAGCAGCAAGGGATTAGATTATACATAGCCCTGAGGAACGAGATGAGGACGCTGGCTTTTATATGGAGTGAGACGGGCTACCACAAGAGCACGGTTTCTCCATAGTAGCACTTACTGACATTTTGGGCCGGATGCCTCTTTCTTGTGGAGGCCTGTGTTGTGCACTAAGGGCTGCTCATTCAGCCGCATCCCCGGGCTCCACCCACCAGCTGCCAGGAGCAGTGCCCTCATCCCCTAGCTGTGACAACCAAGAATGTCTCCAGAGTTGCCCCCAGTTGGGAAGCATTGTCCTAGAGGGCAGTGAACAAAGGAATGACAGGATCTGTCCTACATTTAAAAGAATCACTCTGGTTGCTGGGTACAGAAGAGAAAGCAGCAGGGCAAGGCTGGGAGCATGGGCCTCACCGGGAGACGAATGCGATAACCCAGAGGAGAGACGGTGGTTCAGACCTGGGTTTTATTTTGAAACTTTAGTTCCCCCATCTATAATGATAGCGGCACCTACATCTCATAAAGTTGTTGTGATGAATAAATGATGTATATAATGGGCCCAGAACAGTGACTGGCACATAATAAAGACTCAATAAATATAATTTGTTTATTATTACTGCATACATTGTACAATTTAATCTCCACGAGGTAAGACTACTACCCCCTTCTTTTTTTTTTCTTTCTTTTTATAATGCTATTCCCTTTTGAGAGATAATGAAGTCGAGGCTAACTAACTCACCCAAGGCGACAGAGCCAGTAGGTGGTGGAGATAAGATTCAAACCCAGGCTGTCTTGGCTGTGAAACCGACGTGCTCAGCCAGTCACCAGCACAGCACCAAGTACAGAATCCTGTATCTGTTCTGAAGTTTACACCCGTTCCCTCAAAAGTGAATCCACTCCCGTTGGACATCTCCGAGTCTGCAAGGCTAAGAGGCACTAGCTGGGAGGCCAGCTGGCCTTTTCCAGGGGATATACAGACCCCATTCTGTGCTATTTTGTTTCAAACCTCTACAGCACCTTCAATTGTTTACACCAAGGACGAAAATATGACAACGGTCAAGAAAATGGGAATATGCAATATGGTAAATATGGTGATTTCAAAGAAATAATCCTCCCTAAAAGAAGCTAATTTAAACCAATTCAATTAATCATGGAGGAATTTAAACTTTGTCCAGATTCGTAATTACTGCAATAAGTCTCTGAATTGATCTCCTTTATTCCCCTACATTCACTTCTCAACACAGCAGCAGAGTGATCCTGTGGAGGCCTAAGTCACTCCCCTGCCAAAAATCCTCCCGTGGCCTCCCCTTTCACTCAGAGTAAAAGCGAGGCCCCATGGTGGCCTAAAAGCCATGCATATCTGCCACTTCCACCTCTACGTCCTGTTCTTATAGCCCACCCCCTCACTCTGATGGGCCACCATGGCCTTTGTGCTGCTCAAGCCAGGCACCCCCCGACTGAGGGTCAGCACTCACGCTGCCCCCAGGTCTGGAGCCCAGGGATTCTCACGGCTTAGTACCTTGCTGCTTTCAGGCTTCTGCTCAGGTGGCTCCTGCTTGCTAAGGCCCTCCCTATGTAACACTGTTACTGTCCCGTTATAACCTCTGGACTCTCCTTATGTCCTGGCCCTACTTTGATTTTCTTTACAGCACTTGGCACCGTCTCACGGGCTATATGTTTTCCTTATTTATTCTGGCTAGAACGTTAGCTCCACGAAGGCAGGGAATTTTGTTTTTTCACACACTGTTTCCCAGTGCCTAGAAAAGGGCCTGGTACATGAGAAATGGAAACAAGTATTTACTGAATAAAGTGAATGAGTAAATCTGCTTTAAAAAGCCTGGGAATATTCGAAATCAGCCTGAGCAAGAGTGAGACCCCGTCTCTACTAAAAATAGAAAGAAATTAATTGGACAACTAAAAATCTATAGAAAAATTAGCCGGGCATGGTGGCGCATGCCTATAGTCCCAGCTGCTCGGGAGGCTAAGGCAGGAGGATCGCTTGAGCCCAGGAGTTTGAGGTTGCTGTGAGCTAGGCTGATGCCACGGCACTCACTCTAACCCAAAAGAGGAAAACCGTGTTCCAAAAAAAAAAAAAAAAAAAAAGCCTGGGAATAAAATGGACTAGACTCCAGGAAAAGAAGCAAACGACTTCACAAGGTTTTCAACAGGCCTGGTCTTTAGAAAGGGTACAATAATGGCCCTGTGATACTCCAAAAATCAGGGCCTGGCTAAACTAAACTTCAAAAAGCAAATAACCAAACCAACGAACAAAAAAACTGGATTGTTTCGTATATGGAAAAAAGACCAAGGAAAGTTTTCTGAATTGATGATCATGTCAAGCTGAGGCAGAATATGAAAGCAGTGGGAATGTGTATTTTGAAACCACTAAAAAAGTTACAAAAGCTCAACACTGTGCAATGTTACTGTTGGGAATGATAGGCATTATAAATCCTTTAAATTTTGCAACACTAATTTACACACACAATAAAATACCCCTTTGCAAAGATGAATCTGTACCTGAAGACCATGTCAAAAAATGTATTTATTTTAATCAGAGGATCTAAATATTAAATTTCACTATTTGAATACAATTCAGGTATAAAATAGATCAAAATGATTTTTCTTATGTCCAAAATTTCACAAAAACTAAGGCTTTTATATTTTATCCATTACTAAGCCAAATGGAAGATAGATTTACTTACAATACTAAATTCTTCACATGTTTCACAGGAACCAAATGAAGAAGTTCAGAAGACTCTTCCAAACTTAGCAGAGTATTTACAGCTTGACAAAGAACAAATAAGGTTCCTAAGGGCAGAAAATAGAAGAAACCACATTACTTATTTCCTTGACATAGTAACTATCAAACATCTCATTTATCTAATGCTTGCTACTTGTGGGAAGTTCTTAAAGTGAATTTGTGCCTTTTAAAGTATTATCTGTCAAATGTATAAATATAACAGAAAAGAGAAGTTTCTAAGTCTTATGTTTTATCTTTCTTAAGAAAAATATACACTCAAAAGCAGTAAATAAAAATCTATGTTTCAGAGATGGGTGCAGTGATGCACATCTATAAATCCAGCTACCTGAGAGACTGAGGCAGGAAGATTTCTTGAGCCCAGGAGTTCAAGTCCAGCCTGGGCAACAAAGCAAGACATTTTCTCTTAAAAAAAAAAGAAAAAGAAAAAGAAAAAAAATGGTACTGTTTCATTAACCAAGATGAGGATAAAGTATAATGGTCCCACTCACTGGCATTATCAAAACTAGGACTCTTGAAGAGAGTAGGCTTGGACTTTTCAATATCTAAGAAATTATCCTTGTATAAAACTCACATTGACTTTACTTCTCTAGTTTATAATAAAAGTCACATTATACAATTATAGCTATTACCCATAATATATTCAATTAATGATACTAATTAAACACTTGTTTAGTCTTTAGCCCAGGGGTCAACAAACTATGGCCCATAAGTCAGATCTGACAGGCAGCCTGTTTTTATATGGCCTGCAAGATAAGAAGGTTTTTTACATTTTAAAGGGGTTGTTAAAAAAAAATATATGCTATAAAGACAGAAGGTGGCCTACAAAACCTAAAATATTTACTATCTGGTCCTTTACAGAAAGATTTTGTCAGACACTGCTCTACGCTCTAGATCAGTGCTACACAACAGAAATTTCTACAATGGTAAAAATATTTGTGCCAATATGTAGACACAATCCAATATGGTAGCCACCAGCCACATATGGTCACTGAACACTTGAGATGTGGTGAGTCTACTTTATTCTCTAATATGTCTGTTTAGTGTCTAACATAGAATGTAGCATACTAATATGTAAGTGAATAAATGACTGCCATACACATGTGCTAGAAAAAAATGCTATGCTAGGATGAAACAAAATACCTGCTTTTAAATTACTGTTTGCAAGTTAATAGGGAAGACATAGAAGCATACAATAGGAAATGATGTTTTGGGCAGGGCAGCCTAATTCTGCCTGGAGGACTCATGAAGGCCTTCCTAGAAGTATTATGCCTATAAGAGTTCACTGAATGACAAAGACCTAGAAAGGTCTCCAGGCAGAGGAAACACATATGCAAAGGCAGCCAGACAGTTGTAAAAGAATGTGTCTTGCTCAGGGTGAGCAAATAGAAATGCTTGGAGCATAAGGTGTATACTAGGGGTCAGGTGGGCGTGGGAGATGGGAAACAAGACATAGTCTGGCGCTTGTACATGAATGGCCTTCTAAACCATGGCATTTGATACTTTACCTTCCTTATGTTCAAGCAACCGTGACCCGGTCAACCACATTATGTGGTATAAGTGAAACATGCCCTTTGTATCCTCTTTTTTCCCCTTGGATTTATCCAACACGGGTTATGCCAGAACACAATGTTAGTATTATTCTCTAACATTTCACATGTTTACAGTTACTTGGGTGTGCCAGAAAAGAAGAGAAGAAAACAAATGTGATGGTAACTGACCTTTTCCAAAGCTCCCTCTGTCAACTGTCATGAAGAGTGACTCTATGAAGCTTGTGACTAGTGGTATCAGCTTCTCTTTCTCAAGAGGTCTGTCCAAGGAGTGGGGAGAAAAAGGAAAAGTTCAACCTGGCATTCAATGGCTTTCCCACGGAATGGCAAGGAATGGCTAACATATTTTAATCAGTATGTTAAGCAGAGTTTATTTTCTTACCTAATATGAGGTAACACTACAAGAGCTGCCCAAGAATGTGAAAAGTAAGTAGTATCTTTATTTGGAGGTAACTGAATTATAGATAAGAGATGGTCCAATACTGGAAACTGTTTGTTTCCTCCCTTGGATCTAGTCCTCCTCTGCCTTACATAGGATCTGAAGGATAAAAAAATAAATAAATGTTTAAAATAGGAGAGAATACAATCACTCTTGCCCTCTGCAGTTTGAAATAAAATTGGTTCCTCACCTTTGTAGAGCACTTGGGAGAAAGGAACTGTTGGTGGTGGTTGAATATAAATAACCAAACAAGTGTGAGTCACTTAGTGATTTTTGGTGAAAGCCTTTTCAACTCCATTGGCTCTACTTCCTTCTATTTCTATTTTAATTTGCTTCATAACTCACACCAAGTCTCTTCTAATTTTAGGTATTATTTCTGGAGCATAAGGTGTATCCCGGGGGTCAGGGGCACACGGGAAATGGGAAACAAGGGCATGTTTCTGAGAAGTAATTCATTGGAATGAACTGACTTCTTCCATACCCCTTTCCTTTCTGACATGAATTTTACTACTTCACAAATGTGGAATGATGTTGCAAAGTTACTGTGATGAAGCTGAAAAATACCACTAGAATGATTATGATTTAAAAGTAATTTTCTCCTGCGCTTTAATCGGATCTATAATTATTCAATGATACTTTCTGACATGGCACTAGGTTTTGGGCATCTGTTACTCTAGTACTATTCTTGTTTGCCTCTTTTCATTTTTGCTGCTGTGCTAATACCTCAGCCCTATTTGAAAGAAATCTAATCAAAAGAAAAATCATAGAAATAATAAGTAAAATGATTTGTTTTACAATTTATCCTCCAACTCCAGTTTAGTTAGCTTGTTATGCAACAGAAGTGGAATATTGGGTTTTTACACCTGTGCCCTTTTGAACATTAAAATTAACCCAGAAGCTACTACCTTTTCTTTTGTTTCATACTTATCAGGATATTGAGTGTTTGGAAATCACAATAGATAATTAAGTTACTTCAACTGTCAATTCCCTGAAGTCACCACATCTTGATATAGTCTTTTCAGTAATAACTATGACTCAACAATCTGCAAATATCTTACCAAACATTGAGATGCTTTAAAAAAAAAAAGTGAGTCATTAGTTGCCATGTCACTCCCTTACCTGCTTTATCAGACCTGCCAGTGAGCTCCTCCAATAAAACACAAACTCCTTACCTTGTCCTGTAAGGCCCTGTGTGATCTGACCCTCGCCTACCTCCCTCAGCTCCTCTCATCACACTCTCCTCCATGCTTACCGCTCTTTACCCACAGAGGCTTCCTTTCTGCTCCTCAAACATGCCGAGCTTATTCCTGTCCTGGATCCCCTGCAGTAACTCTTTCCTCTGCTCTTTCACCCAGATCTTTGCAAGGCTAGATCCTTCCCATCACTACAATCGGTCCAAAGGTCTCCTCTCAGGAGAGGAGTAAGTGCCCGCTCGCCACTCACTCTCCCTCTCAACACCCTGTTGTATCTTCTTTTTATTACTATCTTATCTTTTTTGTTTGTTACTTTGGTTTTTACAGACAGGTTCTCACTCTGTCGCCAGGCTGCAGTGCAGTGGCACAATCATAGCTCACTGTAGCCTTGACCTCCTGGCTCAAGCGATCCTCCTGCCTCAGCCTCCCAAAGTGTTGGGACTACAGGCTACTTCTTATCACTATCTAAAATCATCTTGCTTATTGGCTTCTTTGCCTCACCACATCCCTCCCCAAAAGAATGTTACATCCTCACAAGAAGGAAACCTTTTCTTACTCATTGCTGTACCCTGGTGTCTAGAACAATATCTGATATTATAAATAATTGTCAAATGATGGAATAAATTTATCTCCCAAAGAGCCTTTTCACATTATCACTTTTTATTCTCACAACAAACCAGTGAGATGAGTAGACTGTTACCACAAATATTCAAACTATTATTTAACAATCTTCAGGGAAGGAATCAAGACAAAGGTGGCATTCATTCATATGGGCATATTGTGTCTCAGTGGCGGGTGGCAGAGGAATGTTTTCTCAGAGAAAGAAACACAGAAGTTGTGGTACTTGCTGTAAGTTAATACGTCTAAATTCTTGTTTGTTTATTTTACCATGCAACCTCTCCAGGAGGATCTGAGAGGCTGAGATGACAATGTAAGAAGGCCTGACACCCAGGCTCAGTCGGTCCCTTTGTTCACCTCATGGAAGCTGACCAACAAAGCAGCTTCACTACCATTGCACAGAACCCACAGTTTTGACACTTGCAAGGAATGTGTCTGTTGGAGATTGGCTTGGTGTTGCAAAATCCAGAGAAAAGTTCCAAAGGAATAATTCTACAGGAGTTACTCATTACCCATTCCTCAGGAACCAGAGCTCAGTAAATTAAAAAACCAGCAAGATTCAGTTGGCACGTTTTGATAGAGAAGCTACTTTTAAGGTAGGCAGAAGGTGTCAGGAGGTGATAAGAGGGGCTCCTCCAAAATCTCAAGCTGGTCAAACTCAAAAGCTACTGAAGAGCTCTAGCTGTGTGAACAGGCGACAATACCTCCACCCCAGCAGATGCTGGGAAGCTTCAAAGCTGAGTACTCAGCAGAAACTCAAGGAATATCTACTCCTACTGCCTCAAAGCAAACCACAAACACAACGACAGTTCTGACTACTCCAACAGAAATAAGAAAATTAAGTATAACAAATAAGAAAATTAAGTATAACAAAAGAATGATGAGGGAACTGATTTCCTAATCTGCATAGGATTAATCTGCATACTCACTTAACTATCTGGAAAACAATAAGCTGAACCCTCTCAATTATTTAAACAAACTTTGATTTTTAACTTCTAAAGAGTATATATTGTTTTGAATGAAATTAAGAAAATAATCCACGGCTTTTTTAACAACCGGAACAATGCAAAGGTATGTATGTAATTTTAAAATGAATAGTCGCTTCTTTTTTCCCCTTAACATCTTCCTGACAAAACAATGTTAATTGTTTCGTGTATCCTTGGAGAGATGTCAGTTCCTCCCAAATTGATCAACAGGTTTATTGCAATTCCTAACAAAATCCCAGCAAGGTTTTTATAGACATAGACAAGCTTATTCTAAATTGACATTGAAAGGCAAAAGACCAAAAAGAGCTAAAACAATTCTGAAAAAGAAGAATAAAGCAAGAGGGTTTTAATTTAAAGATTTCAAGGCTTATTTTAAAATTTATTTGTAATCCCGGCTACCCAGGAGGCTGAGGCGAGAGGATCACTTGAGACCAGCAGTTTGAGACCAGCCTGGGCAACACAGTGAGACCACATCTCAAATAGAAAGAAGCCAAAGAAACAAACAGGCAGATATTTCACTATAGAAGACACACAGATGGCAAATAAGCACATGAAAAGATGCTTCAACATCATTAGCCATCAGGGAAATGCAAATTAAAAGTACAGTGATTGACTGATCTTGTTGGTTAAAAAAAAAATAAGTAAAAACAAAAACTACAGTAAGGTATCACTACACTTCTATCAGACTGTCAAAAATAAAAACTAGTGATAAATACCAAAAGCTGGTAAAGACACAGAGGAACTGGATCACTCAGACACTGTTGGTCAGAACGTAAAATGTCACAGCCACTCTGGAAAACTGTTTGGCTCTTTTTATAGAACTAAACATGTACTTATCATACAACCCAACAATCCCACTTTGGGGCACTATCTCAGAGAGATGAAAAGAAGAATGTCATAAGAGCTTTATTCATAATAGCCAAAAACTGGAAATGGCCTAAATGCCTTTTGAAAAGTGAATGATTAAACAAACGTGTGGCCACATTCAAACCAGGAAATACTGCGGTACTCAGCAATGAAAAGGAAGGGACAACGGATACACACGATAACTTGTATGAGTCTCACGGGAATTATGTTGAGGAGGAAAAGCCAATCTCAAAAAGTATACTGTGTAGTTCCATTTACATAATATTCTTAAAATAACAAAATTATGAAAATGGACAACAGATTAGTGGGTGCCAGGGGTTAGGGAGTAGAGAGCAGAAGGGTGAGTGTGGCTATTAAAAGGTGGCATGAGGGATCCTGTGGTGAGGGAACAGTTCTGTCTCTTCACTCTGGTGGTGGTTACAAATCTACACATGTGATAAAACTGCGTAGAACTCTATGTTTATATACATATACACACTCAGATACAGTGCACAAAACTGATAAAATCTGAATATTGGTGGATTGTACCAATGTCAATTTTCCGGTTGTGATACCGCAGTATGCTCTGCAAGATGCACCAGTGGGGAAAACTGAGTGAAGGGGATATGAAAGCTCTCTGTACTATTTTTTACAAACAGCATGTGAAGCTACAATTATTTTCAAATAAATGGTTAAAAAAATTAACAATCACCTCTTTCTTTCCTTCACCATCTTTCTGGCATAAACAAAGTTAACAGGTTTCTGTATCCTTTCATATGTTTTGCTATGCTTACATATACTTTTTGTTTTAACTTTGCAAAATTAGATTATACTGTATGTATTATGTATATAGTTCTACAACTTGCTTTTTTCACATAACAACTTATTGTGGACATCTTTACAGTTGATACATACAGATCTTCATTTTTCACAGTATTCTTGATGCATTATATTTAAATGGAATAAAAATTTAAAACTTACCCTGCCGTCTCTGGTAAGAAAACCAGAGGGTACTTTTCAATTGCCATCGAACCAGCAGTGGGAGGTGCTGCTTTGTTCAGAATGAGCTTGGCCAAAATGGCCAGGGCTTCATCTTTGACCGTGGCATCATTAATTACAAAGCAATTCTCAACATACGAGAGAAAGCTTGGTAGAAAAAGCTAAAAATAAGAAAAAAAAAATCACTTTTTAACAGATATAAATTTCAGAACACCTAATAAAGATTCTAATACTTCAGAAAACTGGATCATAAACAAAGAATCAGGAATCACAATGGCATTAGACCTTTCCACAGGACAACAGAAGCTAAAGACAACACAGCAATGCTTTACAAACTGAGGGAAAATAACCTAGAATTCTAGATTCTGTACCCAGCCTACTAACAATGTAGTGTGAAGAGAGAATAAAGACATTTTCAGATGTACTAAATCTCAATCACTTCTGCTCAGGAACCTCTGCAAAATGTATTCCACCAAAATTAGAGTAAACTATAACAAGAGAAAAACATGGGACCCAGGAAATAGGAGAGAAGCAAAGGGAAGTCCCAGTATAACATCTGTGCAGGGGCTGAGAGAGCAGAGCATTCAGACTGGAATTGCTCCAGGAGGAATGCCTCCAAGAAAGAAGAAAAAGAAAAATTGAGCTGCTAAATGATCAGACAGTTTACAGGTAAAAGGCATTTACCACGCTGTCCAAAGATAGATTCACTGACTAGTTATTCAAAGAAAACAATTTCCTCATTTTTACAGAATGAGGCAATTACAAACTCTAGGAAAAATGAGAAGACATACAAAAAATAATATGGAATCATAAAATACTCCTTGTTTATAAGGATTCAGTGTGTGGTGAATATGGATGTAACCAAAATTTACGATATAACTCTATCGGGAGGATAAGGGGTGTAACAGAACTAAAATTCATCTGCCATGGGAAGAGGTCTACAGATGAGAACTGAAACTAACCAACCAAGGAAGGGCAGTATATTCAGATGATTTAAAAATATAAAGTAAATATCAGAAAAAAATAGCTAAAAACCATTCGATGTGGTTGCTGCTGGTAAGAGGAGAAGAGAGAACAAATGGCTGCCTCTTAGCCTTGTTTGACTTTTAAACTGCATACATACATGCAATACTCTGATACAAATAAGATTTTCTTTGTTGTTTTTTAAAAAGACCAAAGGGGCCGGGCGCGGTGGCTCACGCCTGTAATCCTAGCACTCCGGGAGGCCGAGGCAGGCGGATTGTTTGAGCTCAGGAGTTCAAAACCAGCCTGAGCAAGAGCGAGACCCCGTCTCTACTAAAAATAGAAAGAAATTAATCGGACAACTAAAAATATATAGAAAAAATTAGCCGGGCATGGTGGCGCATGCCTGTAGTCCCAGCTACTTGGGAGGCTGAGGCAGAATGATTGTTTGAGTGAGGTTGCTGTGAGCTAGGCTGACGCCACGGCACACACTCTAGCCCGGGCAAAAGAGTGAGATTCTGTCTCAAAAAAAAAAAAGACCAAAGGGAGCAGCGGAGAAGGGAAAGAAGCAGTTGCTAAGAAAACCAGAGTAAGCTAAAGAATCCTCACAGAGCAGAAAGAAACAGGGTCTAGGACACATACAAAAGGTTTCATCAGGATTTTTTTTTTTTTGATACAAATGAGACTATATATTATATGAGAATATATATGACTAAAGATTAAAAGGAAGAATGAGAGGACAGATACAGGGATAGTTTTCCATGAAGTTTCCTTTAGGGTTACTAGCTAGGAGGAAGGGCAGACGTTTGATGGGGGGTGAGGAGAAAGGGATAAATAAACTCAGGATTTGAGGAATGATTTCTACCTGATTCAGATACCTGTTTTGTAGCAATGAAATGAATTCACAACTTTCTCCCAATAAAAACTGTTTCAGAAACTATTTTCTATGTTTCAAATTCACATAAAAGTTCCCTAAACTGGTTTTTCCATTTTAGTACATGGTTCTGTAACTAGCTAAAGGATTATTAAAAAATCAAGTTGGCCACTGGGTATCATTTTAAATGCCTTAGCATACGGAATAATTTCACGTGCAACCTACAACTGAATGTGATTTCTTTAACGAAACATTGACAAACACATCACATCCCACGCTTATTCTACTCCTCTCAAAAAACAAACAAAAATCCCAGGATTTCAAATATGATTATTTTATCATAACAGATTAAAAAAAAAATACCCCAAACTTAATATCTTGCTTACCTGCTCAAATTGCTTCATAGCAAACATGACTTCAGAAAAATTGAAAATTAAACATCTTTCAAATTTGCTCTCAAATATCTGGGGACCACAAGCAAAAAACATTGATGTAAGTACACAGAGAGTACTTTCCCTGTTCCCTACAAAAAGCAGCTATAGGAAGGAATGGCGGGCACACTTCAACCAGTTTTCTGTCCAAATGTTCAGCCTTCTCCAAAGGCATTTCAGCAGATGGAAAGGGCACTATATTCCTAGCAAATACATAGCCCAAAAGCTGCCTGATTCCTGCCCAACTACAAAGAATTACGAAAGGGCAAGTAGCACAATCTTACACCTTCCTCCAAAGCACACTGCTGCACTCCTTGAAGCTAAGAAGAACCTAACTGATCTTTCTATTTTCAATCCTGCTTCCAAACTCAATTCCATCTTCCAAATTCACTAAAATGCAGATCTCAGCAAATCATGTCCCTGCTTAGAATTCTTCCAGGGCCCTCCACTACTTGCAGGCTAAAACCCAATCTCACTTTTCAAAGCCAAACAGAGCTTTGCTGGTATCACATCACACTTCATGTGTCCATGTGCCCAGACTGCATACATTTATGAACACATGTCTTTGCTGTTCCCTCTCCTAGTGTTTTGAACCCCTTCTCTCACTGGCAGACTGCTATTTAACCTTCAATGATTATCCCAAATACAAGTCCTTTGAAAAGCCTTCTGTTTCTCAACCCCAGGCAGAATTATTAGTTATAATTCAATCTATCTCCAACAGATTAGTTCACGGATTATAACTACTCACTCCCAGGTCCCCCAAAACAATCAAAAACCATAAGCATCACAGTGTTTACCCTGCAATACCCAGCTCACACCCAGGACACAGTAAGCTACACATGTTGCAGAATATTTGCTGTATAGATTTAGCTTTCACCACGCTTTACTTTGCTTAGTTCCATTACAGCATGCAGTTCACATCTCCTTAACAAGACTATAAATTCCTTGAGGGAAGAGCCTTTGTCATGCTTCATTTGTATTTCCCAGCAGCTTATTCACTGCTAAACATATTATTAACTACTCAATTAATATTTGTTGAAATTACTTTTTCGATGGTTTCTTGGATGAGGGTCTCCGGCAAGGAAACATTTTCACCTAGGATCAAAGCAGAAATGACATCCAAGAGGGTCTCCCGGCAAGGTGTGGAAAGATTGGTTATTTGTAATGTTTGAGACAATACCTGTAAAAATAAAAAAAAAATGCATACTTGGCAATCAGCTTTTAATAACAGACTCTTAAGCATATTAAGTTGGGAACCCACCTGACAAACATCAGCAGGTGTGGTTATCTTTGATCCATTTCCATGTTTCACAAGTATCAGATACGTTTCTAACAACCTTTTAATCTGTTCAGAACTTTCACAACTGTTAGTTTTTGTTACTTTTTTACCTAGATCCAGGAGGGATTCCTGCAAACAAAGAATGTAACAGAGAGAATAACTACAAAACATCAAACTCATGTTAAGCCAATAATGAAAATATTGTGTGGTGCAGTTTAACTTTTCACATTCTTTTGCTTTGTAAGAAAAAGACACATTTACCAAGAATCACTAATGACAGTAACAGCTAACATTTACTGAGTGCACCGCTCTAAGTTCTTTATGAGGATTTACTCACAATCCTCTCAGCAACCCTGAGGTAGGGGATATTATTCGCCCCATTTATCAGATGAAGAAACTGAGGAATAGACTTTAAATAACTTCCCCAAATGACACTAACAGTAAGAGATACAGCCAAGACTCAAACAGAGGCAGTCTGGCTCCAGAGCCCCCCTTAACCACTATTCTCTACTGCATCTCAGGGTACCATATCAAATAAAAATAGTACAGAGGGTGGAGGGAAGGAAAATCTTAGTATGTGTGTGGAAGTATAAAGAAAACAACTATAAAATACAATCTCCAGGAGTGCTCTGCAAATCTAAGAGCAACAACAATAAACTCTTACACTCCTTGTTATATACCCCTTAAAGATTAGAACTCACTTGCAAACATTCAAAAAATGCACCAAAATGTTCCTTGTAGATATAGAATACAGTAGATTTGACCATGTTTTTAAGTGTTTCTCCAACTAAAATCCATGGCAGTCGAGTTTCAGTTTCAGTAACTGGTCCTAGCTTTTGCAAAATTAGTTTTACTGCCTGTGGGAATGAATATAAGCCATTAAAATCAACATACAAACCCTTGTATCAACCTGTGATTACCACTCTGATTATATCAGCTACTTCTTGTCTGGAATAATCAAGCCTATGCCATCTTTAATGATTAAGTTAACTGTGTGTCCAGAAGGGATTTCCAAACTGGGATGGGTAATTTTATCACACAATTGCTCCCTTCCCAACTTGCCCTCGCACACTAATCAATTTATGTTACCTCCTAGTACCCAGGATGAAGAAATGATTTTATAAGTAAAAATACCTAGTGGCCCAGGACCTACATTAGGCAAACATTGTTATTAAAAATCTAACACTCCTGATTTAGTGCTTTCTATTGATTCTAGGCTATTCTCTCTTCACATTATTTGCCTCAATCTTTTCTATTTTCTGTGTAACCCTTCCACATAGACTCTAAGTACTCCCCCTGGTTATTTACCTGGCCTGCACAGGAGTGAAACATATTTCTAACTCCTTTACACATTTCAAAGAGCAACTGTCCAACTCCTTCTACTTTTTCTGGATGTTCATCAAGATCAAGGAACATTAAATTGAGAAGTACATTTTTATCAGAGACCTAAAATGTAAAATAAAAATGGAAAATTACATTCACAAACATAAATACATCCACATGAAGAAATCTTACTTGCTATTCAACATATTCATATTTAAATACACTTAAGAAAAAATTCTGAAGAAACAGACATTTGTAATGATCTCAAACTACCCTAATAGTGTACTCTCACTTGGAATGCCACACAAAAGCGTGATGAATTCATTCATATGACAGGAAGGTTTGTACCATGAAAACTACATAAGGTAACATTTTATCTTTTACAGTAAATCATACATTTGTATTTTATGAACACAAAAGAAATTTAATATCAGTGCTTTTGTTTTATTACAAAAACCCTCTAAAATTTATTATGGAAATTTTAGACAAACACAAATAACACTACGCTACCAGTTCCTTCCAGGAAACTAGTATAAAAATTCCTGTTAATCTCACTGTTCATGTATTTACTGACTTGAATCAGAGAGCACTTTTGATATATATACACTGACAGCTTCCAAAAATCTAAATAACAATAAAAGAGTAACCCAAATTACATCATGTTAATTTGTGAGCAAAGACTAAACCTTACTGTAAGATAAACTTGAAATAGTAACAGGTTTCTGTGTGTGTGCATATATGTATACATACGTACATATATATGCATATATATATAGAGAGAGAGAAAGAGACAGAGAATTAGTCCATAATAACCACATTAAAAAAAGATACCTGATTCTATTCATCAGATTATTGATGATTAACTACCAACAAATATATAAAATATACTAACCTTTCTCATCAAAAAAGTAAAACTTTCAGCAGCAAAATTTCTTATATGTAGTTTTTTATGAGCCAGGAGTGTACTGTACATGCTATACATGAGAAAAATAAGACATAATTAGTCATATTTTAATAAAGACATATATGTCAATGATATGTTCCAATACTGTGCTAGGCAATGCAAGGAATACATAGCAAGTATAACACAAGTTTAAAATCTCATTTGACATAGCAAACATAAAACAAGTTTAAAATCTCATTCTAGCACGGATATACCCATGTTGAATAGAAAACTGAAGGCTGCAGCACTAAGAGTCCTAGGACTGATGGTGCTGCTCTTATAGACAAGACTCCATGTGAAGCGGAAACTTGTAGTGAGTTCTGAATGACAGGAAAATTTAGGTAGGGACTGGAGTACATACTAGGATAGAAGCAAGGGCAAAGATGAGGCAGGCAGAAATAATCACGGCCAAGAGATAACAAGGAGGCTGGTCTGTCTAAGACAGGAAGGATAATGTAGATGAGGAGGGCAGCAACAGACAAAACTGCCCAGGTTAACAGGTAGCTCTGAACACCAAGCAGAGAAATTTGGGCTCCAGCTTACATCTTTGTAAGCACTTACTCTGTGTTACTATTTCATTTAATTAGCACAAAAACGCTATGGGATGGGTACTATTATTATCCCCATTCTATGGATAATGTGAGGCACAAAGCATAGCAACTTACTCGAAGTCATATGGCCATGCAGCTTTGACTAATAATTACTTATATATAATCACATTGTTTAAATTGGTCCCCCTAATGATAGAAGAGCATGGAATATGTTTCTCCTATTTTTGCCATAACCTCAGTACCTAACTTGCTTGTAGCAAGTATTAATACTAATAAATATTGGCTGAATGAGAAATGAATATTTTCAGAAAGATTAATTTGACAGCAATATATAGCATGAAATAAAAGAGGAAAGAAGAGGCTGGTAATCCAATTAGAAAGCTGTTCAAGTCAAGCTTAGGCTAACTACAGGCATGAAAGAGACTGGTAGGAGAGGGAATGCTAATGATGGACCCAAGAGACATTCCAGGAGTCCCTGCAATGAAGCCAAAGACCTTACAGTGGTCCACAAGGCCCTTTATGATCTGACCCCTTTGTTATTTCTCTGACACCACCTGATTACCGTCACCCCCATACAGGCTGTTCTGCCATCTGGGACTCCTTGCTGTTCCTTGAACATGCCAGGCATGTGCCCAAGATGTTCTTCGCCCTGCCAAAATGTGAACTTTTCGAGAAGACGGATTTTTATTTGTTTTGATTGTATCTCAAATACCTGATAGACACACAGCAGCCAATAAATATTCACCGAGTGAGTGTGTAAATGACAGAATCAAGAAGATTTGGAGTCCTTGAAGACAACTTGGCACTCTAAGATGCCAAGACTCAGTGACAGGAAAAATGTTGCTACCACTGATAGAAAATGGGCAATGAAACCAGGCCTGGCGTATGGCAGATACTCAACACATATTTACCAAACACATGAATGAATGAAAAGGTAAGAAGAGCTGGTTTGAACAGCAACATGTTGAGTTTGGTTTCAGTAATACTCAAACGAAAACATCCAGGCTACTGAAGATGTCATGCTGAAAGCAAATAAATTGAGAACTGAAGAGCCTCAGTTAGAGACATAAAAGTGACAGCTTTTATGACAGCTCAAATCATAAAAGCAAATAAACTACATTCCCAAAAGACCTTGTTGGTTGTTTAATGAAATAATCTTGGTCTCTAACACATTTTATCAAAAGCTTCATAGAGAATTAGTAAAAGCTAGAAAAATATTTTTCCCATTCTTTGTTCAAAGTTCCTAAAAGAAAAGGATTAGCAGGGTAAAGAGGGTGGCACTAAAAATCTATTGTCTTATCCTACACCTACAATTTTTATTGATGAGTAAAGGGCTGATCATCAATCTTAAATATCCCTATAATATGTAGAAACAATCAGAAGACCAAATGGAAAATTCCATCAAATCCCAGACTTAATAAACAATCTTTCCCTTACTTTAAACAAAAAAGCTACTACAGAAGTCAACCTCTTCCCCTGTCCACATTTACTCACAAATACCGAGTGTCTCTTTTGGCTTAGTAAGTGTATTTGTGGCTGAGGAAATGTAGATGTTTAAGACAGGGTTCTTAGGACAGAACTGCATTATAAGCAAACAATTACAATAAAAGTTGGGTAGCATAAGTATTAAAAAATGTCAAGGCGATACAGAGTACAAAGCTTTCACTTCTGGCTGAGGTGCCTGGGAATATCTGTGGAGGTCATGGAAAGCAAGTCAGGCTTTGATGGGTGAGTATAATTTTAATAGCTGGAGATGAGAGATGGCCAAGTCAACACAGACTGGCAGAATAGACTATAGACCACTTTGGCTGGAGAATCAACTTTGTATAAGGAAATAATTAAGCACTAAGCTGGAAAGGTAATTTGGAGTCAGACAGAAGCCAAAGAAAAAAGGAAAGGCAATTAAAAAGTATATTAGAGAGAGCAAGAAAAGGGTCACCTGTATATACTGGACATGTCCTTCACCATCAGTCTCCACAGGTACTTGTAAAGATATGACAGCGAGGTGAAAGCCCATTCTAACAACTCTGTGTCCTGGGTTTCCAGGATTGAAGTGATAGTTAGAAAAAAATCTTGAAAGTGTGGATAGAAATCCGTCTGCAGATCTCGTGCCAACTGTACAACCAAACTGGATTACAAAAATAAGCAAATGATTAGGTAGTTTTTTTAAAAAAGGGCTACAAATCTATTTAATGATAATAGATGGCCTATGATCATAGGATTAATTAAACCAACATACTTCTAAGTAAAGCCTCAAGTGATAAAGATACATTCCATCACAAGTTGTGGTCAATTGTTCCTACAGTGTCAAATAAAAATGGGGTTCTTTCAGGAGTATATAACAGAAGCAAAACATGGTAATGCACCTTTTCCTAATAGAAAAGGTAAATTTTCTTATTTCTAAATTATAAACATTTGATCTAAGACACACGTAGCTACGAAACATGACCTTTCTTAAAACTCTGATAAATGTAGTTAAGCTTTCTCCCAAGATGCTGCTTACTCCAGAAGGGGCTGATAGGCAAAACTGTTCTTAATTTGCAGGTGAGTCTTCAAACTCTGAACTATCTCGTTTTGATGATAGACCAACTGATTGAATGACTGGCATTTGTCAATAACTTCTTTGTAAAATTTCCCTGAGGAGAAAAAAAAAACAATATGTTGTTCTTCTCCATCATACCACTATTTAGTTGTATGGAACATAAAGTGCAAATTAAGGATGAACAAAATACATACCAAAGTGTTCTGTGAGGTTCAATTCTCTCCATTTCAGCAGACCCTCGAAAAAGTAGGTTTCAACCTCCTGTCAAGATTTAAGCAGCCCATTAATCAAACGACTCCAAGAAAACTATGATAGAAGTAAATAGAACAATGATGTATTAATATCTTAAGACAATGATAGTCAAGAGTTTGAAAAGTTTTAGTTTTTTAAAAAAGAAGCATTAACTAACACACTTAAAAAAGCAATCGGAAGTATAATATCAACAGATAATTTATAAAAACATTTTATTGACTTGGTTGCACCAAGTAATTCTCTGAAGCCTATATATAATAGTCATACTAAGGGAAAAAACTTTTCCTGCGTTTTTTGTAATTTCAGGCACAGAAAAATGTGTCAACTTTCTACTGTTCTTTCATTCTGCTTTTGGAAATATGAATTGCTACAACCTTATAGGGAAGTAATCTGGCATTTCCATTAAAATTAAGAACAGGTATGTTCTTTGACCCAGCAATTCTGCTTTTGAATATAGTTCTTATAAAATTTGCAAACATAAAAGTAAAAGATGTTTATTTAGCTTTACCGTAATAAGGGGGAAACATTATTGATCAGCCTAAATATCCAGCAATAGGAAAATAGTTGGAATAACTTACGGTCTATACATACTAAGGTACATTACGTGTCTATTAAAAAGGGTTATATCTATATTGAACTAGGATGTTGATGATATGCCCCCAAAATGATAAAAGCAAGTTATGCAGTGAGATGTATGGTAGGATACAGTTTTTCCTTAGGAGAAAAAAACCCTCCATAGATGTTTGTACACATTTACATGAACATGAATTAAAGTGTGGAAAAACACACATATACTGAACTGTCAATGTTGGTTTCCTTGGCAATAAGGGGTGGGAGGCGTGAGATAACAGGCTTTTTCTAAGTTCCCCACTATGTTGTTTACCTTGTTAACATGGTATACACTACTTTGTACTTTGAAAGGTAAAGTCAATAAATGTGTATATATGTGTATCCATGAATAAATATGTGTGTGTGTGTGTGTGTATGTGTACATTTATATACAGAACGAGAGAGAAAGAGACAGAGAATTAGTCCATAATAACCACATTAAAAAAAGATACCTGATTCTATTCATCAGATTATTGATGATTAACTACCAACAAATATATAAAATATACTAACCTTTCTCATCAAAAAAGTAAAACTTTCAGCAGCAAAATTTCTTATATGTAGTTTTTTATGAGCCAGGAGTGTACTGTACATGCTATACATGAGAAAAATAAGACATAATTAGTCATATTTTAATAAAGACATATATGTCAATGATATGTTCCAATACTGTGCTAGGCAATGCAAGGAATACATAGCAAGTATAACACAAGTTTAAAATCTCATTTGACATAGCAAACATAAAACAAGTTTAAAATCTCATTCTAGCACGGATATACCCATGTTGAATAGAAAACTGAAGGCTGCAGCACTAAGAGTCCTAGGACTGATGGTGCTGCTCTTATAGACAAAACTCCATGTGAAGTGGAAACTTGTAGTGAGTTCTGAATGACAGGAAAATTTAGGTAGGGACTGGAGTACATACTAGGATAGAAGCAAGGGCAAAGATGAGGCAGGCAGAAATAATCACGGCCAAGAGATAACAAGGAGGCTGGTCTGTCTAAGACAGGAAGGATAATGTAGATGAGGAGGGCAGCAACAGACAAAACTGCCCAGGTTAACAGGTAGCTCTGAACACCAAGCAGAGAAATTTGGGCTCCAGCTTACATCTTTGTAAGCACTTACTCTGTGTTACTATTTCATTTAATTAGCACAAAAACGCTATGGGATGGGTACTATTATTATCCCCATTCTATGGATAATGTGAGGCACAAAGCATAGCAACTTACTCGAAGTCATATGGCCATGCAGCTTTGACTAATAATTACTTATATATAATCACATTGTTTAAATTGGTCCCCCTAATGATAGAAGAGCATGGAATATGTTTCTCCTATTTTTGCCATAACCTCAGTACCTAACTTGCTTGTAGCAAGTATTAATACTAATAAATATTGGCTGAATGAGAAATGAATATTTTCAGAAAGATTAATTTGACAGCAATATATAGCATGAAATAAAGGAGGAAAGAAGAGGCTGGTAATCCAATTAGAAAGCTGTTCAAGTCAAGCTTAGGCTAACTACAGGCATGAAAGAGACTGGTAGGAGAGGGAATGCTAAT